AGCCCTGGCCCTCAGACTGGACCTGATAGAGGCCAGAGTGCAGGTCGCTCTCTTTGACTGTTGTGATGCATGGAATAATAGGGATATTTACTAAAGATCTCTGAACCATTGCTAAGACGTTTATTTTTTTTTATTTTACAAAATGTGCAGCATTGTTCGTCTTTAAAGTGCTGTTTTGTCCCTAACATTTTCATTGAGGAAATGCTGTAGTGACATGATAACATTTAGAATCTTTTCAATAATAATAATAATATTAATAATGCATTTTATATATATTTTAAATTTTTCTTTTTTTCCAAGTACAAATTTACTTGAAGCAAAGGGGGAAAAAAACTAATTTTATTTACTTGATGAGAGTTCTCCTAATGATTTTCTTAACTAGTAATTTACTGTATATGTATTTTTCTACTAAAAATTATTAAAATAAGAGAAACCTACATTAGAGGCAAACTGGAAAAGGAAAAAAAAAACAATTTAGATTTTCTTAATTAATTTTTTTTATGATTTTTTAAAAATATTTTTTCTACTAAAAATATACAAAATCTACTTTACAAGAAAAAGCTATTTAGATTTTCATTATGAATTTTGATTTTTTTTTTTGATGATTTTCTTAATGAGCTATTTATTTTATTTTTTTTCTATTAAAAAAAAAAAAAAGTTAAAATAAGAGAAATCTACTTGAAAAGCAAAACTGTAACAAGGAAAAAACTATGTAGATTTTCTTAATGAGTTTTGATTTTCCTAATCCGAGTCATTTTTATATTTATTCCACTAACAATTCTTAAAATAAGAAAAATCTACTTGAGAAGCAAACTGGAAAATGAGACTATCAATAGATATCAATACTAATACTGTGATAATTTGCATAATTTAATCTAATGCACACTATAAAATTAACAATATCTTTTCCCTTTGTTCCAGTAGGTGTGGTTCCAAAACCGCCGGGCTAAAATGCGCAGGCAGATGAAGCTCCAGAGTCAGGCAGGAGAGCAGTGCGGCCGGCGTGACAGTGACGATAGACAGGTCGATTCGTCCAGCAGGAGCACAGCTCCAGAGCTCCACAGCAGCAGCAGCCCAGACTGGGACAGGAAACAGGAGAGAGGAAGCCCCACTTGTTCCAAACCCTCCTCATCAGCTATCCACAGCCCCGTGAGCGACATGCTTCAGCAGCCTAGAGATCAGGAGGGGTCAGAGGACTTCCGCTGCTGTAGCATTGCCAAACTGAGGGCTAAGGCCAGGGACTATGAGGCAGAGATCCACAGCACTGTAGCCAAGGCCAGCAGGGAGAGGCAGATGAAGACACAGCTATCTGCCACAGGCCTGGAAAGAGACTGAAACAGATGCAGCCATTAAACATTACCTCAGTATCACACAGGGCACATTAAAAATCCCATTCAATTCATTATTTATTATTATGCACAATTACACACGCAATGAGGTTAAACAGTGTGACTGAGAACAGCAAATTTCTTCACTCTGTATTGTTTTTGCTTCTTAGATTGTCACAATATCTTGTGTTATCTGTGAAACCAATGGACGCTTTTCAAATTTCCAGGGTTCTCAGAAGCAGAAGTGGTCATAGTTGGCTAAACTTCCATAGCGGTGAATAGAAACTACAACAAACTTATTTTTTGCGCTCCCGTTTACCCCAATAGCAAAAGAAAAATTTGTGATAGTGTTTTAGTGTAGGAAAAGCTATCAAGAGATTGATTACAGAAGAGAGAAAGATGTCAAAATTGCCATCGCTCTCTCAGCAGTGGTGTTAGAAACATGCAGCAGTGTTAACTATTTTTATGTAATTTAATGCCAGTGTAATATAGTAAAAAGTACAGTGTTATAATTGTACAATAGATTTTT